ACTTCCTACCCCCAGCACCAGTGTCCTCCCCAGCAAGCCTGAAACACTTGTACTCACATCATTCGCACATCCAGACACCCACTCTCCCAGCCTTAGTCCTCCTCTTGCCTACCCAGCTCTTTCTTCCACTCTAGCTCTTTGACCCCAGACTCACTGAATGAAGGGCATGAGCCGATAATGGTCAGCTCACAGTGAAGAATGAGAAACATCCTCCTGATCCCTAACCATGTTTATGAAGCTGACTTTCAGGAGCCAGAGGGGTAAAGAGAAAGCCTAAAATGAAGATCTGGAAAACAAGAAGAATTGCAGGGGGAGCAAGATAAGGACATCCTCATCTTTCTCCAGAAACAGAGTAAAGCTGGGCAGACTGGTTAGCTCAGTTGGTTAGGGCACATTGCACAACACCAAGGTCAAGGTTTCAGAACCCTTACCTACCGGCTGCCAAAAAAAGAAACAGAGTAAACCAATGAGAAGGTACCAATGCTGGATTGGCAACTGGGCCATTGGAATCTGCAAAGGAAATTGCCTTTGGGGAACTGCCTGGGAATACAGTGGATTCCTGAGGTCTAACACTCCTAGGATCACCCAGGTCACATCTGGTCAGCTTATTCTCCATTTTTGCTGTCAATCTACTCCACTCTTGTGCTGAAAATTCCTTTCAGGAGTTACAAAAAGTTTTTAGCTGTAGATTGTGCACTTTCTCTCCTCTGGCCTTAAGTAAGCATACAAACATTTTTGAAGTTTTTTCCCAATAGGAACTATAGAAGTGGAGAAAGGAGTAGGAAAATAAAAAATTGGGACAGTTGCAAAGTTATCATAAGTCTTAAGAGTTTGTAGTAGTAGGGCCGGCCCGGTGGCGCACTGGAGAGTGCGCCACTTGGGAGCGCAGCGGCACTCCCGCCGAGGGTTCGGATCCCATGTGGAGACCGGTTCCCGCTCACTGGCTGAGCGTGGAGCGGGGGCAACATCGAGGGTTGTGATCCCGTTGCCAGTCAGTAAAAAAGACAAAAAGGAAAAAAAAAAAAGAGTTTGTAGTAGTAATCATCCTAGAGTCTCATCTATCTCTACACTTGATTACTAATGATCAGCTTCTCAAACTCTTTATATTCCTGGGGCCAGTGGTCCTAAGTTTACTCCTCCCTGTCAATAAAGAAGGCCCCATTTTTCAGACCCAGAGAGTACCATAGAAACATAATCCATACTAATAAGGAGAACGTGGGTCTATATAGCTCAGGGAAGTGAAGACAGAACTATTTGTCTTGCTTCATTCCTCCACAGTTGGTTTCATGTGATTACCATGGCCACCTCTGAGGTTGTCCAGGACTGACTCCCCACCTTTCTGCAGATTCTCCCTAGCCAGTCCATATCATCAGAGCCTAAAGAAAAAACCGGGTTTGAGTAAGAGGATCAAAAGAGATATGCTCAAGCAATATACACATAAATCAGCTGCCTTAAATCAAAATATAAATGAATTGGGCTGGCCTGTGGCTCACTTGGGAGAGTGTGGTGCTGACAACACCAAGTCAAGGGTTAAGATCCCCTTACTGGGCATCTTTTTAAAATAAATAAATAAATTGATTAGTGAATTAATCATATATAAATATAACTTATCATTATCAATTATTGAATATCTTCTCTAGTGATTTCAATGTGGGTGAATAGAGATATGGTCCTTAGTGACTAGGTGACCATCCATCTCTGCTTCTACCATGTGGAACCTCTCTATCCCAGCCCCGTACTCAGAATGCCAGGTCAGCATGAAACCCAGCTCCATTGTGTGGACAGTTTCAGTAGGACAAAGGCCCCAGCGTAGCACAAGCCAGCCCAGCAGCCCCTTTGGCTAGCTCCTAAGGCCCCCCCCTTCTCTCTCGTTCTCTGGTTATGCTTTGCTGACTGCTGACTCCTGGCAAAGTCCAGAACAATCACCAAGCTCTGAGTACATCATCTCTCTCCCATCCATAGTTAAGAGCTCCAATTAGCACTTGGATCAGGTCAGGGACACCATGTTAGAAATGGGGTAAGCTAAGAAATAGAGTAATAAAGGGGTTGGCCTGTCCTATTCTTGCCTCCTTCTCCCCTTCCTTTTGCAGGGAGTCAGATATAACCCCAAGCCAGGCAGATCCATGCTCACTGTGGGTCAGGTCCTTTTCTATGCACTTTATATGTGTTATCTCATGTACTGAGATTCCCTAGGGCTGCACCTTCAGTTTATTTCCTACTTATTCTAGTCTACACTCTCTTCTTAGATGACCTCATCTATGTCCACCTCTCCCTTGAAATTTATATCCATATATCTACAGAACATTTTCACCTGATTGTTCCACAGACACCTCAAATTCAGCCTGTCCAAAATTGAACTAATTATCTTCCTCCCATCCAAACATGCTTCTCCTTCTGTATCCCCTCATTAAGTCAGAAACCTATGAATCCGATTTGACTCCTTCCCCCCATCCTCTCACTCCCCTCTAATCAGTCACCAAATCTCCATCCACTCTACATCTTAAATAGCTGAGCCTACACCATGGCTCACCTGAGAACTAGTGGCCTCAGACCCTGTCTATCCCTGTTTCTAGTCTCATCCTCTTCAATTCATTCTCCTTGTTGCTGCTAGCTTTATCTTTACATAAGTACCTGTAATTTGTTATTTCCTTCAACACCTCCTGAATGATAGTCTAAACTTCCTTCAACAGCTCCTGAAGACAGTCTAAACTGCTTATCCTGGCATACAAGGTCCCTATTAATCCAGCCTCAACTTTTCCAACTGCTCTCCCTATCTCCCCAACAAGAGATTCTGGCAATATTGTGTTCCTTGTTCCTCAAACACTCCACTCTGTTTCATAACTCAGTGCGTTAGCCTAAGCAGTTCCCTCCATCTCAAATGTCCTTCCCTGACTTGTCTGTCAAGTAAAATTCCATCACTTCCTAGTTATTATGCATGGAAATGTTAAGAATGATTTACTTGTTTGTTAGCAATGAGCAGGTAAGTTATCTGAATGATGAAAGTGAGTTTATCAGATGAGTGGTTACTCTGTAAAAGTGAAATAATACAAAAGATGACAGGTAAACCTATTCCCTGAGCAGGGAATATATGTATACGTGTCTTAAGTGACAGTGTGAGGGATGCGAACTGACTGCCTCAGTCCTCATGCCAGGATGGAACCAAAGGAGAAATCCTACAGAAACACAATCCTGGACTCTTCCTCTCATTACTACCAAAATACAAAGTACGGACACAGCAGGACTTTTCTGAAGGAAATCTCTCCTCCTCACATTTTGTTCCTAAGCTTAAAAGGAAACAAACCTCTCTTCTCCCATGAAAAGGCTGGGCCGGGCTGATCCCTGGTGGAGAAAATGAGCCATTGCACTCTAAAAATGTGGGCACAAAACGCAACACTGATTCATTTATTCATTCAAAAATAATGAGCATATGTTCGGTGCTAAGGGGAACACTGGAGCCCCGGGGCACAGAGAACACAGAACTTAATCTCCATTCTTAAGAATTAACAACCTAATGGATAAGATAGGTAGCTGCCTGTTTAAATGTTCCCTTGGTAGCATTGGGGAGAATGAGATACCAGTTAGAAGGCTGATGTAGTAGTACAGGGGAGAAACAATGTAATAGGGATGCAAGGACAATCAGATATGTGAGATGAGAGAGATGAAGTCACGGACTCCCAGGTTTTGGGGCAACTGGCTGGATATGGTTGCAGTTCACACGCAGTCAGATAATCTAGGAAGAGGAGGAAGTTTGTGTAGGAAGACAAGGTTAGCTTTGGACATACTGAGTTTGAGCTAACTGGGGGACATCCAGGTAGAAATGTTCAATAGGCTATTAAATATACAGAACTGGAACTCAGGAAATAAATATGAGGTAGAGATTTTGGGGGTCCTTCTCCAATAGGTGGAGTGGACTACATTAGAGTAGATGAGATACTCAGAGAGATGGTGGATGTTGGGGAAGAAGACATTAGCTGAAATCTAGAACAAGCTGGGGTTGCCTCACCTGCTTAACTATTTCTGCTTTTCAAGCCATAGTTATGGCTTTTGGGAAATCTCTCCCCAATACTCCCCATATACTAAATCCTTTGCTTCCTAAGCATCCAGTAATCACTTCAATTGTGGCACTTAGCGCATCGTATTGCAATGGCCAATATTCTCATCCATCTTCTCAGCTAGACTGTAGGCTCTTAGAAAGAACTATGTTTTGTGAAAATAAATGAAGTAGGTAGGTAGCAGACATATCATGTAAAGCCTTATGACCATGCATGGGAATCTGATGCAGGCACGTTAAAAGATTTAAGTAGGGGGGCCGGCCCATGGCTCACTCGGGAGAGTGTGGTGCTGATAACACCAAGGCCACGGGTTCGGATCCCATATAGGGATGGCCGGTTGCTCACTGGGTGAGCGTGGTGCTGACACCACCAAGTCAAGGGTTAAGATCCCCTTACCGGCCATCTTAAAAAAAAAAAAAAAGATTTAAGTAGGGGAGTGGCATGATCAGATTTGTGATTTAGAACTACCACTGTGACTGTAGTGTGGACACTGGATTAGAAGCAGACAGACTGAAACTGGGAGACCAGCTTAGGAGCTACCACATTACATTACAATGAGAAAGCACTAATTAAGAAAAAGGATGACAGTGGCCTGAAGTTAGGCCATGTCCACTAGAATGGTGGTTAGAATTCCGGGAGCCGGGAAGAATTTTTGGTTATTTTTTTAGGTTTTTAAGGTAGGACAATGGAGGTGGCATGTTGATATTATGCTGGCCAGCAAAACCTTGAGAAGGGTACAGATTGAAAATTTAGAAAGCAAGGATACAGGCAGGGATTTCAAGCAGATCAAAATGTTAAGTGTAGGCTGTGCATAATCACCTACCTCATACCTGTTCCACCCTGAACCAAAATGTTGATACTCTTGGTTAAGCTAGAAAAACCGAGTATTGAGTTAAACCATCTATTCCCAGCCTTGAACACACAAAACCAACATTTACAGTATTTATGTATTTAATATTTATTATAAACAACTGCCACTTATTCAGTGGTTGCCATTTGTTAAACTATATCTAAATTATTCTAATTTAGCCTTTAAGGTCTAAAGGCTGTATATTATTTGTTTTACAAATGAGAACACCAATGCTCAGAGAATTTGCCCAAAGTCACAGAGTGGAATCAATTAACTGCTTAATTCTAAAATCTATACTTTTAAGCATCTGGCTACACCATTTCTCTAAAATTCCTATTTAGTTCAAATATGAGCAGCATTCCCCTGCGCAGAAAACCCAAACGAACTGCACCAAACCCGGGGAGACCCGAAACAGAAATCACTAGGATGGAGGATCCCTGCCGGGTCTTGGCTCCCTTACGTCATCACGCTGCGCGGCCTCCTCTCGCGCACCACGTGCCAAGGGAGCAGCCTACAGATGGCAGGATTTCCGTCTGGGGGCGTGTCCTGTCCATCTGTGGCGCAAGATGGCGCTCCCCTTTTCGCAGTCGTTGCGCTTGTGCCGTTGGGGAGCTAAACCATTGGGGGTTGCTGCCGCGGAAGCCCGGAGAGGTAGGGTATTCGCCTTTTACTCTCTTATACCTCCAAAGTGGCTTCTGTTTGTTATTCTTGGAGTTCGCTCCGAAAAACAGCTCCAACCCTCGGGTCTTTTCCCCTCCCCCTCATCGACGTTGGTCTCCATTCCAAACATGAGACCATCTGTTTTTTTAAATTTGGGGGCTTCCTCAATCCGAGTTTTTATGGGCCTCCCATACTAAACTCATCCCCCACTCTCTTGCCCGCTTGGCATTCTGACTCTTCCTTACTGCCTCGTGATGTAATAATGATTGCCTGCTTCAGATAGGATTACCAGCCCGAGGGTTCTAGCCCCTGACATTATCAGTGTTTTTGTTCTGTCCGCAGGCGTCAGTTTTAAATTGGAAGAAAAAACCGCCCACAGCAGCCTGGCACTCTTCAGAGGTGACACAGGTGTCAAATATGGCTTGGTGGGATTGGAACCCTCCAAGGTGGCCCTGAATGTGGAGCGCTTCCGGGAGTGGGCAGTGGTGCTGGCAGACACAGCGGTCATCAGTGGCAGACACTACTGGGAGGTGACGGTGAAGCGCTCCCAGCAGTTTCGGATAGGAGTGGCAGATGTGGACATGTCCCGGGATAGCTGCATTGGTGTTGATGATCGTTCCTGGGTGTTTACCTATGCCCACCGCAAATGGCACACCATGTTGGCCAACGAGAAAGCTCCAATTGAGGGTATTGGGCAGCCAGAGAAGGTGGGGCTGCTGCTGGAGTATGAGGCCCAGAAACTGAGCCTGGTAGATGTGAGCCAGGTTTCCGTGGTCCAGACACTACAGACAGATTTCCGGGGTCCAGTGGTGCCTGCCTTTGCTCTTTGGGATGGAGAGCTGCTGACCCACTCAGGGCTTGAGGTGCCAGAGGGCCTCTAGTATGTCTGTTATTGGAGTCCCTAATCATGCTCTTGGCCAGCCACCTATTGAAAGTGTCTGAAGCCTATTTACTTTGTCCCAAGCAACCTCTAGTTCCCACAATTCAGTGTCAGGTCCTCTGTGCAATAAATCTCTTAGTCATCTTCCTCTCTCCCATACCCTGTGAAAGCTAGGCATACAGCCAACCCTCATCCTTCCAAATTACTGCCAATTTCCTCGGCTACCATGGGTGTATTTTTCCTGACTTGCTTCCTTCAGTCCCTCTGCCTCCGTATGCCCAGGCCTTTCTTAGACTGTATTCAGTCCTGGGTCTTATCTTTCAGCCTTGTTTGAATTTATTCATCACTGTGATACCTTTCCCTCAATTTACCCACATGTACTTGTTTGTTCTTGGGGGTTCTACCAGATCTCTCCAGAGTAAATTCTACCTCTGGCTGGAGGAGTGGTGCAATGGCTTGGCCCTTTCTCTACAGCACATACAGAGTCTGGGCTCTGGCTCCCTCAGAGCTTTATTGATTCAGTGTGTCAGAGGGAGAACAGGGCCCTCCTACCCCAGTACCTCAGTGCTACAGACCCTGAACCCCACTAGCTGCAACCTCATCTACCTTAATCTGTACACCTCTGACACCAGCCAGTCAGTCATAATTATTGTGCCATTCATAACTGTGACCAAAGGGGAAGAGACACTTGGGGGATAGGATATCTAGAGGATTAGAGCTAGAAATGGTTATTGAGAAATTCCATCTTCATTTCTGCTACAGTTAGAACTTCCAGAGGAAGGAGGGGAAGACTGAGGTTTTGCGCAACCCATTTTGGGGCCTGTTTAGACCCCCATTCTCCTTGGCAGCAGAATACACTTAACCTAAAGCAGTATTTGGGATTGAGGAAAACCTGGTGGGGTAAGTGAATATGTATGTGAAATATGTATTGTGTGGGTTCTGTCTGACCCTGTGGTTCTATTTTATTCTACCTTCTATGATGGTGATGAAGATGGATACCCTTAGGGGAGAAAGAGGACTGGGTTTAGCAAAAATAATAATTTGTATAATTAAAGTTTATTTGAGCACAAAATACTTTCTCTGTCTATAAAATTGCTGTTAGCAGTAGCAGCAGCGGCACATCCAGCTCAAGGAGGGCAGATCTCTCTAGAATACTAAAGTCAGGTGTGTAGGCCCCCCTTTTCCCTTACTCCATGGATAAGTACATGTACCTGGTAGCTACAGCCCCTCCATCAGAGCATCTCTCTCTTATGGTGGTTTCTTCAGGGAGAAGAAGAGGGGACCTTCCCAGGATGAAGACCCTTGGATAGTTTTGAGTGGGCCAACTCATTAGGCTGTACCTCAAAGAAACCCACGGTCTTCATGGATAGCTCTACTGCAGGTGTTCACTGAGGCTCTTCTCAGTATTCTGTCTACTGAGAGAATGTGGTATTTTGACTGTCACAGAAAGCACTGGTCTAAGTCACCAAATGACTTCTTTGGCCTCCACTGAAGCATATAGCTCTCCATAGCATTTTTGGTGGTTATGGGTTAATTCATGCTTTTTCTTGAGCGGGGAATGTCCTTGACCCATGTTCACACCATGCTCTCTAAGTTCTCTTTAGATAGGGCTTCAGCTGCTGCCTTAGCCTGTGTTTCAGAGAGTGTGTAGGAATCCTGGTAATCTTGAAGCAGTTTGACCACCTCCAGGTGGTTGAACTGTACAGCATCATCCAGGGGAATGTTGCCCCACCTGAGTGGAACAACAATAATGATCAAGCAAAGACATGGAGAATGTATACATGTGCACAGTGGCTGGAGGTAGTGGTTGAGAAGCTTTGCCTACTCTCCCCATCCTCCCTTTAGCCTTAATTCTACTTACCTGTCCTTGACAAAAGGATTCACTTTGCAAGCCTCAATCAGGAATTTAACAACTTCGATGTGTCCTAGGAATACAGGCAGAAGGAAAATGAGAGGTCCTGAGCCCTTTGGTACAGACCCTTGGCAGCTGGAGTATGTACCAGGAGGGCAGGGGAGAAGATCTCATTTTGCTCCCTGCAGCATCCAATAATAGTCTGGCTGCAAACTGAAGGGCATCTGGACAAAACTTGTTGCTGCCCCGTAACCTTAAGGGCATGTTCAGTGGGGTACTCTTGGTAGAAAAGAAAGGGTCTTACAATTTGCTTCCTTCCCTTCTTTAACCCTTCAGATACCTTCAGCTGCAGCAACATGCAGAGCTGTGCGGGAGTCATAGTCTTTCTGTTCCATGTCCATGGCTGACAAGGCAAACCTGAGGGTAGTGGAAAGCAGCTAGAGTCACCCAGGAGTCTAGAATCACTAGTGTCCTTTCAGAAGTGGGGTCAGACTAAATGAATTCTAGAAAAAGTAAAACAAAGCTTATGCCAAGATTTGTAGGTTCTGCATCTGTTCTACACCTAGATGAGACTTATTCCCACGTCAGAGAGAGAGGCCTGTGATGCTTCCAGAAACATCACTGCCTACCCATGGTAGGTGCCCAGTACATATTTGTTGTTGGTAATCCATTTGAGGCAGGGCTCTGCTCTTAACACTCAAGTTAATAACAGTGGCTACCATTAATTAAGTTCTTATCATATGGCAGGCATTTTACTTTTTAAAAAAAATATCATTTAAATGCAATCTGTGTCCATTCTGTCTAACTCTAAAGTTGAAGTACTTAACTATTTTGCTATGTTGCCTCCTAATAAGATCTCTGGCCAGGAGTATTTATTGTGTGTATCTGGTCACAGTAGAATTACCTTCGAAGAGCTGACACATCTCCACTATAGGCAGCAAATAACAGGTTCACCACAGTTTTGTTCTGGAACACAGATCATACCCACCTGAGATTAATTGTGGCTTTGAACCCACCCATGTCCAGCTCTGCCCTGTGACCCTCCATGGATGCTTAGCCATGGGTATTGCTGATGTGTTAGGGAATGTTCTATTCTGAAATATTCTTACAAGTCACCTGGGGTTTTCCTTACCCGAACTTCTCCCCCTTCACGCCGTGGGTCTAACTTCCGAGCACAGTGCCGCAGGTTGTCATAGTTGTGGAAATTGAAGAGAGACACCAACTTCTAGAATTGTAAGCCAAAGATATTGTTTACTTTTTTTTTCTTTTTTTGGTGGCTGGCCAGTATGGGGATCTGAAAGAAATTGTTACCTTGCACTGAAGAAGCTCACAATTTTATTAAAGTGGCTACTGTTTTGTTTTTCTTTTTCCTTTTTGTCTCTTTTTTCGTGACCGGCAACGGACCGCAACCCTCAGTGTCACGCCCGCACCGGACTGGGACTGGCAACGGGATCGCAACCCTTGGTGTCGCGCCCGCACCTCGCTCAGCCTTGAGAGGCGGGTCTGTATGTGGGATCCGAACCCTCGGCGGGACGCCGCCGCACTCCCAAGCGGCGCACTATAGCAGTGCGCCACCGGGCCGGCCCCAAGTGGCTACTGTTAAATACACTTATTGCTTAATTCAAAAATATTAAGTACGGGCCGGCCCAGTGGCGCACTGGATAGTGCGCCGCTTGGGAAGCATGGCGGCGCTCCCGCCTGAGGGTTCGGATCCCACATGCAGACTGGTTCCCGCTCACTGGCTGAGTGAGGCGCGGGAGCAACGCCGAGGGTTGCGATCCCGTTGCTGGTCCCCGGTACGGGGGCAACACTGAGGGTTGCGATCCGTTGCCGGACACGGAAAAAGACAAAAAAAAAAAATATTAAGTACTATATGCAAATCAGCTCACCTGGCAGAAGCTGATGCCCTTTTGGCTGTTCCCCAGCTTGTCCAGTGGAGGTGACAGACACATCATTCCCATGACATTGGGTACCACCAGGAGGATGGCTCCTGAAACAGCTGACTTGGCTGGCAGGCCCACCTGGAGAACAAAGTTGAAGCAATACCCGTGGCTAAACTGAGGATGAGCTGGGAGTGCCCTAAATCTGGGAAAATAAACAAACTAGGCCGAGTGACTGCATGGACAAGGCCACAACCCACCATAACCTTTTGGCTTGTTAATTAGCTTCTTTTCTTACTCCTGCTCTCCTGTCCTCCTTTAATTGATTCCATTAGGAAATATTTATCGAAATATTAACAGCACTCTATGCCGAATGCTATTCTAGAACTAGGACAAAGTCTCTTAACATTCTGATGGTAGGAGATAGTCAATAAACAGGTAAACAAGTAGACAAAAATAATTATTAAAATAATTGTGATAAACATTGAGAAGAAAAGTAGGGTTCTGTGAATAGAGATGGAGAGGAACGCACTTGAGATAGAGTGGTCATAAAATCCTCATTGGAAGTGACATCTAAGCTGAGACCCAGAGAAGAGCCAGCTTTGTGGAATGAAGGTTCAAAAGCTACAACATCATGTGTTTATGTATTTCATGAACTTGGTATGTCTAACAAACTCCTCTAAGGATTCTCAACCTGACTGCCTGACTGGAAGTTAGTGAATGAGAAGAACAAGCTTCCACCCCTCTATCTTCACAAAGTCAGTGTTTTCTTGGCACTGGGCTCATGGCAGATGGATGGCAAGGCTAGAAACACTCACATGGAAAGCAAACTGTCCAGAGAAGTCATACATGCCACAGGAATGCATGAGGCTGAGGGTGTTGCGCACTGCTTCAGCGCTCAGCACTCTCTCGCCTGTGATGGGGCAGATCCCACCATTGGCGAGGGTGGCTGCCATAACACTGCCTGATTCACAGGTGACCTCCACGGAGCACAGCTAAGGAGACAAGGGAAAGGTGAAGGTGCAGTGTAGAGCTGAAAACAGTGCTCTTGGGTGTAAAGCAATGTTCTTGGCATCTAGATCTTTCAACAAATTTCCCTGGTGTTTCTGAAGGACATCAGAACTATGAGAGAGGATTATCCCTCTTGTGAGTTGGAGTAAGGAGGGCAGTCTGTTTTGTTCCCAGGTTTGGGCTGTAATCCCAAAAGACACAGTCCCAAACACCATAATCTCAAATGTTGAAATCCCAAAAGATCAAAATCCCTAAACTCTAAAATCCTGAAAATCACAATTTTGAAAGATTAAAATCCCAAATATTGTAATCCTGAAAGCTGAATTCTGGGGAAGCAGTGTCATTTTTCTCCATCTGCATTTGTGAAAGATAAAATTTCGTGAGATCTTGGCTCTCTGGGTGACTACATATGTGGTGGTGACCCACTGTGATTATTGATCAGTCTCGTCAAATGACTTAGGTTGTCCATCAGGGTATTTCAGATGACCACAGTTGTAAAGCTGGGTGCACAAAATTACCAACCAGTGATGCATTTACACATTGACTTTTGACCTATTTTTTTATGAATATGGTTTGTCTGTTCATAACTCTTACACCTATGCACCTATCATTAGTATACCCCAGTGTTTATGCTTGCAGAACATGTACGTTATTAAGTGTATTTTATTGTGTAAAGTAGCCTATGAAGTGTTCTGTCATGTTTTTCTATGTTTCTCAAATCTCCTTTTAAAAATATATAAATGTCTTTTAAATAATTTTTAAAATTGTTTTTTCCAGAATTATAGCTTTGGGATTTTGATCTCTTGGGATTGTGATTTTTTTTTTGTTTGTTTTTTTGATTATTTTATTTTTATTTTTTTCTGGGATTGTGATTTTTGAGATTTTAGACTTTAGGGATTTTGATCTTTCAGGATTTCAACATTTGGCATTATGGCATTCGGGATCGTGATCAGCACATGTTCTCTTGGCCCTGAGCAGTGTTTGATTACCTGGAAATAGAGATCGAGAGCTGCCATCATGTCCACCCCCTTAGGAAAGCACTGCAAGGAAGAAGAGGGGAGAGCATTTCTCTTCAGGCCATCAGCAGCCCCTTTCCACACCACCAGGGTCTCAGTTGAAGTCCCCAACCCCAATTGCCCTTCCACTAGCAGCAGAAT